TAAGGATGGGGATGGGGTGAGGATGGGCCCCACAAGGGGAGGGGCCGTAGGACTCTCCCATGGGGCAGCCGACACAGAAGCTGCTTTTGATTGATTTTATGGGACAAGGGAAAACAATAGAGATGCAGTCAAAGCCTCGATACTTTTAAAAACACAATGCAATTCTTTAATAGTTTGGTTTTGCTGTTTTTATTATGCCCGTGGTGCTCGTTAACACAAGACCCCAGAATGTTTTCGAGGCCGTCTAGCATCAGCCCTCACTGCTCTGTTCCAAGACATCCACGTGCTCTTGCATCCCTCAGTTGTTTTTGTGCTAAGGCCAAGCTCTTTGTGTTGCCCATTTTACCCTCGGTAATCATTTTTCTAGCAACACCAGGGAGCAGGGAAGGAATCCTCTTAACTTGGGCTGCAGTTCCACATTTACATAAAGCCACTGCTTTCTAATTTTGCTGGTAACGATGCTGCGAATCTGACAACTGTGCCAGCATCTTGCTTTGAAGTGAGGGAAGTCCTGGCGGCAGTATCTGCCTCCGACGAGACGGGGAAAACTAACGAATGCCAGTAAATTACCAGGTTAACGAGACGCACTCAAAGCCTCCAGAGCCGGCGGAGGAGGCAGGTACCTGCTGCTGGGGGTGTTACCCCACAACCTCTGGTGCTGCTGGACCTGGCTCAGCCCCGAACCTGCTCTGCGGGAGCTCCTGGGGGGCCTCGGGGCGGGGGGTGGGCTTCCAGCAAGGCCACCGGGAGCAGCGAAGGCGGGAGCGTGGGATGCAGCTCAGACTCTGGCCCGGGGGGCGTCGGGGTACCCAGGGCTGGGCGGCGCTGCCCGTACACCCCTTGCCGTACGCTTCGCGGGAGAACACGCGTTCCTCTCGGGTCGCCATTCCGTCTGGTTCCCGTTGCAAAACACGGCAGGGCTTTGGTGCCGGGTGGACGTTCCACTGAACTGGGGTGATTGAAGGGCAGATATTGAGCCCTAGACTTAGTGAGAGCTCATAATGGGTGAAGTAGCGTCTAAATAAAGTCATATTTTAAAATGTGATTTTCCTTGCGTTAGAGCGACCGGCTTCTAATCAAAGGAGGAAAAATCGTCAACGATGATCAGTCATTTTATGCAGACATTTACGTGGAAGATGGTTTAATAAAGTAAGTTAAAAATTTGTATTTTATTAAGTGATTTCCAAGCACAATGCAGTGCTGTGGGATTTCAACGAGGTCCCTTGCCGTCATCTTTCTCTTAGAAGTATGTTCCTTTTTTGAAAAACAGGGGCAGTTTTTAGCATATTGCCTAAACAGAGCTACGTTCGTGTCCTTTCGGGGCCGGGAAGGTGTATGAAGTGCGGCCGGTTCGTGCTGGGGCAGCGCGCGCCTGCGGGCCGCCTCTTCGCTCAGGCGCTGATGCCAATTAACAGGAGATCTCCATGTCGTTCTCAGGCAAATTGGAGAAAACCTGGTGGTTCCTGGTGGCGTGAAGACAGTCGATGCCTACAGCCAGATCGTGATGCCGGGAGGCATCGACGTCCACACCAGGCTGCAGATGCCCGTCATGGGGATGACCCCTGCTGATGACTTCTACCAGGGCACGAAAGCCGCGCTGGCCGGAGGCACCACGATGATCAGTAAGATGGGGCGGCACGCGAGCGACTCCTGAGCAGGAAGTTGTTTAGCAGAATACATTGGGCCTTTTATCATCGCAGAGATTGTTCACCCTCGTAGCAGCGAGATGTTCATTTTTGATGTAGACACCAAAGCGTCGCCAGGCTAATTAAAATGCATCATGTGCCCTTCAGAAGCTCCTTCCACTGCTAGACACGTGTATAGTTGCTCCTGCTTCACCTCGTAAGAGAATAAAGTAGAAGAAAGCCCTAAACACCTTTTAATATGTCTTTAGTCGCTTTGCAGGTGTGTTTTCCTGAGTTTTCAGCTCTGAGCACGGGTTCCGGGTTTGGGCTGATGTAAAATAACTGGTTTCTGTTTCGCTCTGGGCCCAAGGACGCTGTGGTGTGTGACTGAAGGGCCAGCCTCGGCAAGCCCTGGGGTAGCGCTGTGCCGATCCCGTAGCCAGTGCTGTAGGGCACAGGAGCAAAGGGAAGCGCAGTGACTGACGGGCAGTGGGTGACTGCCCATGGATAACGCCCAAGGGAGCTGTGCACAGGTGTGCAAGGGCACGCTTGGGTCACCGGCCCCTCTCAGATGCTGTGCTCGGCAGGCGGTGTGACAAAAAGGCATAATAATGCCTGTTGTGTGGAGTTGGTTCGTTCTATGTGTTCTGTTTGGGAAATGCATTATCCTTCATCCCCAGCCAATGCCGTACAAATGAATTAGTGTTCAGTCGTCTCCTTTCCGCGGCAGTGGTGCCTTGCACAAGCGCTGCCGCACCCCTGGGTCCCCCTGGCCTTGGGCAGCAGCGTGCTGACGCTGTGCAGTGTCTCCGCAGTTGACCACGTCTGCCCGGACGCGGGGACCGGCCTCCTGGCTGCCTACGAGCAGTGGCGTGGGAGCGCGGACGGCCAGGCCTGCTGCGATTACTCGCTGCACGTCGACATCCCTCGCTGGCACGAGAGCCTGAAGGAGGAGCTGGAGGCCCTGGTGAAGGACAAGGGTAAGGATGGAAACCGTCATGGAATTATGTGGTGGTTTAGGTCAGAAGGGACCTTAAAGCACATCCCACCCCCTGCCATGGGCAGGGACACCTTCCATAGCCCAGGTTGCTCCCAGCCTCATCCAGCCTGGCCTTGGACACTCCCAGGGATGGGGCATCTACAGCTTCTCTGGGAACCTGTCCCAGTGCTCCCACCCTCTGCGGGAAGAATTCCTTCCTGATGGCCCATCTCCATCTCCCTCTTTCCATTTAAACCCGTCACCCCTTGTCCTGTCACTCCCTGCCCTTGGGAAAAGCCCCCCCAGCTCTCTTGTAGCCCCCCCAGGCACTGGAAGGGGCTCTGAGGTCTCCCCAGAGCTTCCCTTCTCCAGGCTGAACCCCCCAGTTCTCCCAGCCTGTTCCCGTGGCAGAGGGGCTCCAAAGAGCGGGGTTCTGGCAATAACCCCACAAAACCCCACCCACTCTGTAATTACTGCGGCACAGGCACGTGAGCGAGCCTCCGCGGGGCAAGGCACGATGGTTACGGCTGGGGCGGGGTACGGGGGCCCGCAGGCGTTGACTGGGACCCTACGGCTTTGCACTGCCATGTGGGCTACTCCTGTAGTGCCGTCTAGGAGAGAGGTGTGGGCAGGGGCAGTGACACTGGATTCATTCCCTAACATCTTTCCTTCCCAGAAAGGGCTGTCAGGGTGGGAAGGGGCTGCCCAGGGAGGGGGCAGTCCCCATCCCGGGAGGGGTTTCAGAGCCGTGTGGACGAGGTGCTCAGGGACATGGTTAGTGGGGGCTGGGCAGTGCTGGGGTAACGGTTGGGCTGGGTGATCTTAAAGGTCTTTTCCAGCCTAAAGGATTCCATGATCTTGTCCATTAATTCTGACCTTTGGGCAATGTACAGCCCAGTCATGAAATCCGATTTTGGAAACCAAAGGAGTGGTATGGGGTGCCCTGATTCAGACTGTCTGATGTACAGAAGGGTATTTCAACAAAAATGTTCAAGACTGGGCTTGGTGAGGGAAACTAAGCTTTAGGCTTTCCGCAGAGAATTCCTTCCTGCCTACAATTCCTGCACAGCCTGAAGTATCTGGGCCATGCGGCAGGAATTCATGCATTTCGTTAATACTTATTTCCATGTTTGGAACCACATCTTGCTTTCAGATCTGCTAATGCAGAGCTTAATGACTTCAGCGTAATTTGTAGCCTTGCAAGCAAGGGCTTAATTGGTCAATTAAGATGGAAATTTGCGGGGAATTTCCTATTGAAATGCGGAGTGGCTGCAGTAATGCCGCTCTTTGAGCTAATAGCCCGTATTTTTCATATGTAGGTTCCCATGAAATACAGTTTATTTGCAATTTGATGGTAGTTTGGGATTAGTTGTTGCCTCTCTCTGTGTAAAAATACAGTAGCAATTCCCTGGCTTTGACTCAGTGCTCCGCCAATCATCCTTTTTGTCTTTATGTGAGGAATGATGGAAATGAGGATTGTGTGCAGGGTACTGGCCCTTTTTCTCTGGCTGGGTAGCAGTGCACTAAGTAACAGCTCTAAATTAGTCTCAGCTTTTGCTGTAATTTAGTCTTAGCCCTAATACACTCATTCAAAGACAGGGATCAGAAGGGATTGGGGATAAACCATAAATGGGAACCCCCTCTGGGGCAGGGCATTTGATTCCGTGCGTTCGGACCGAGCTACAGAGGGTACCTGCCATCGGAGAGGGGCCACGGGGTCTTGTTTTCTTGGTTCAGGCACATCCCAAGATGGGGCTGTGTTGGCTTTGGTGGCTCCCACGCGTTGGGGTTCAGTTCGTGGGGGTACACTTCCCCTTTCAGCCCTTCGCCTGGCTTCGCTTTCAGCCTAACCCTAGCCAGCACGCCCCCCCGCTTCGAACACCCCCTGCTCAGCCCCGATGCTAAACACACGCTCCGTTTTCTTTTCCCGAGGTGTGAACTCCTTCCTGGTTTTCATGGCGTACAAAGACAAGCGCCAGTGCACCGATGCCCAGGTAATGCAGCCAGCCAGTGCCGGGGAGAGTCGTGGCCCGGAGCCGGCGCGGGGCACGACCGACCCCTGGGCTGACATTGGGCTGTCTCTTGGCAGATGTACGAAATATTCTGCATTATTCGGGACCTGGGGGCCATTGCCCAAGTGCACGCTGAAAACGGAGACATCATCGACGAGGTACGGCGTTTATACCCGTCTGAAGGTCGTCGGGAGGGTTTGGTGGGAGGTACCAGATGGGCTGCAGTGTCTCGGAGGAGCAGTGCAGCGTCTTTTTAGACTCCAGCTGCCGCTGCGGATTCAGTAGCGGGTGGGAGAGGGAGCAGCAGCCTCCTGTGACACCCGATGGCTTTGGGGAGGGGGCCGGCGTGCGCTTTTTGGTGTCTGCTGCCAGCAGGGCCTCACCCCGGCCGCTCTCCTCCGAGATCCCCGGCGAGAGCCGAGCTGAGCTCGTGGCATGCCGCAGCCTCGGTGGGTCCGTGCGTGTGGGCTCCGAGCCCCGCAGCCTCGGGAACGCCGAACCGGAGCTCCTGCACCCTGCCCTAAACGTTACCTCTCTAGGAGGCTTGAGCCCTTGGGAAAACAGAGGTGTGCCTAGCTTGAAATACCCGCTACACTTTGCAGTAGTTACCTGCAGGAGTGGCACTGGGAACATCCTCAGTGCTGCAGACTCAGGTCGTGTTCGTTATTTTTCCTTTTTACCTTTAGAAAAGAAAACCTTAGGTACTGCAGACAGCTGACACAAGGTAAACTAGACTTGCAGTTCCTCTTAGCCCCCAGGTTTTGTCTGAGGAAGCTTTTCTTCGTCCGGCTGGGAAGGATAAGGCGACCCCAGGCGGTTCAGAGTCTTCAGAAGGGTTTCGTTAAGCTGCTGGGGCGATGGCACCCACGCCCTGGGGACAAGCTGGGAGGACATCTGTAACGGGAGGGCGGTGGATGGAGACGTAACCATCCCCTAGGAGCAGGACCAAAGCCCGTGGGACCTGGTCCCTAGGGTGGAGTGACCTCCTTGGGTCCAACGCCCGCTGAGTGGGAGCATCTCGTGACACCAAATGTCACAGCCAGAAGAGGGGGCGGGGTGTGTGCTGGACATCCGCTTTCCAAGGCAGAGGGACTAATGTGGGCACAACCCGGAGCTCCTTCCCGTTCTGTCCCCGCGGGGTCTCTGCGGGGGTCTGGTTTGTGCCTATTGTGCCACACGGCTGCGGGGACCGAGCACACGGCAGTTCGGGGAGCTGGTGCTGCCGGAGCACGGATCCAGCTGCCAAACCTCCTTCAGATCTGCCGCAGTCCCCTCCCACCGCCACGTGGCAAAGTATACTGGGGTCCGGGAGCGCGTGGGATTTACTGGGCAAAGCTCCGCCGCCTCAGGCAGCGGCAGGTCCAGGGAAACATCCTGCCCCGTTGCCATCCATCGCGTCCGGCACAGCTGTACGCAGCCCTGGGCTTGGAATCCCGCGTCTCCAGACACGTAGCTGGGTTGGAAGCGTTGGGAAGGTCCGAAGGTGCCGTTGGGATGCAGCAGTGCCCAGAAAGTCCAGAAAGGTTCCCACAGCGTGAATTAGTGTATCCGAGCAGAGGGGCAGAATCCTCCCACCCCCGACCTGCTGGCCACGCCGCTCGGGGTAGCGGTGTTGGTTAGTTGTACCTGTGAATTCCCATCACCCTTCGGGTACTCCTGGAAAGGTGTTTTGTGCCCCGGCATCACTTCAGAGGGGCTGTTTGTACCCCTGACCACTTTTCCCTTCGTCTTTGTCCCCCTAGGAGCAGAAGAGGCTGCTGGAACTCGGGGTTACGGGGCCGGAAGGGCACGTCCTCAGCCGCCCCGAGGAGGTAACGTCCCCAGCCCGCGGGTTCGGGGCAGCCGAGGTGCCCGCAGGCGCTTTCTGCCCACGTCCTTGTGCCCGCAGGTGGAAGCGGAGGCGGTGTACCGGGCGATTACCATAGCGAAGCAAGCCAACTGCCCCTTGTACGTCACCAAAATCATGAGCAGAGGCGCAGCCGACATCGTCGCGCAAGCGAAGCGAAAAGGTGAAGCCGTGTTTCGTGTCTGCGTGCTGACTGAGCCTGTTTAAACGTGTCCGGGGATGTCACCCCAGCTGCGAGGCTGAGGAACTCGTTGTCACCCCACTTCTCTCACACGTTAAGGGTGCTGGAACTCGGTGTTGGCTCTTCTTCGCCGAGTGTGCCAGAGCCGATTGCTGCTGAGGGGGTTGGAGATGTGCTGGAGACTTTGACACCTGCATCGCGGTAGACGCAGCTGAGAAAAAGGAGATAATTGGGTTGCAGTTATTTGTCATGAACTACACGAAAAATGGCTCCGGAGCCAGCTCCAGATTCAAAGCGGGGGTAGAGTGGGAAGAGCTGGAGGCAGTTCTGTGGGGAGCAGGGCAGGTAGGGGGGGTCCTCAGCCACCCCCACCCCAGCCGGGAGACTCTGCCAGGGAGACGGCTGTGATGTAGGGGAAGGCACGAGGGCTCGTGGATGTGAATGTACGTTTGGTCTGTGGAGGAAGGGGGTGGAGGCCAAGCTTGCTTTGACAGCGTTTCCCAGTCGTGTGCGGGAATCCGAGGGATTAACGTGAATTAAAAAGGCTGAAGTAGCACGGACCCTGGGGATAAGCGAAGCGGTATCTGTCCGCAGCGTGGGAAGGGCCGCGCGGCGCCGTGCCCCCGCTGACCGATTGCTCCGCAGGCGCGGTTGTGTACGGGGAGCCCATCACCGCC